TGCTTTCTCACCTCATCAATGGAAACCCGCCATTACATCCTGCTGCCATCAGAGTTGCAGCTGATTAGGACACCCAAGAGGATGTGGAACTCCCTGCCCCAAGATATCCACTCCCTGCCCTCTTGGTAATGGTTTCAGGCACCATTTATAATCACCTTAACTTAGCGGGCTGATTTTGTGTTATTTCCCTTATTAGATTGCTCTTTATATGGCACAACGACTATAGTTTAGCTGGTTTAACATTTTTCACATGATAGTTTTTAGATGTGAGCTGCCCTGGGTGCTCTAGAAATATAGTGGAAAGTGGAAAGATGTATTTGAAGGAGAGTCATGCATAAAACCTTAAAGTGAAACTTTTCCCTTTTTCAAAGTCTAATTACCGTATTTTTCACTCTATGACACGCACCCAACCATAACAGGCACGTAGTTTTTAGAGGAGGAAAATCCATAGGCATGCCACCCGTAGGCATTCCCTCCATAACACGCACAGACATTTCCCCTTACTTTCTAGGAGGAAAAAAGTGAGTGTTATGGTGCAAAAAATACGGTAATTTTTGAATCGGTTTATTTGCAGTCATTTCTTGAAATGGATTGAAGCCCATGTTTCTCACGGGCGATGGGGTTGTACTGCTTGAGATATTGCTTCTAAAATCTGCCATGAGAAGATAAAGCATTGCAAGTGTCACTATTGCCTCTCCTCCAATTACTGATCATTATTGGTAAAAGAATCCTGATGCACAAATCACTGATCATAATGTCAACTGGATGTATCAAATCAGATGGGGCAAGGAAGGTAAATGCCATTTCCTGTTGATGATAACCTAGGATTGCCAACAATGAATGAATCCTTTGCCTTTTAAATTAACTAAGTAAACTGCATATGAATATATATTTATCTAATTAAAATAATAATTCTGGTACACTATTATAAAGAAAATATTAGAAGATTAGCACCTGTATTGAGGTTATATTAATATACAGTTTAATTAATTAATTAATTAATCAAATTTAATTGGTTGGCTGCCCTAGATTACAATCAGCAGGAAATGGCATCTGCCTGCCTTAGATTTATAGTCTTCCCCCATCCTGAAGCCTTGATTTGATACAACCAGTGTGTCCTTAAATTGCACCCCAGACTGATTAATATCAAATAGCCAGAAGTTTAGTTGGTCAATCTACTGATTTATAAAACTTGCAGCCCTGACAGAATGACACAAGGGAGTTAGTGATTCCTTGACATTGCACCCTATTAAATTAGTGAGCTTGGGTTTAGATCATCAGGGTTTAAGAACTGTGGGATGGAACTGATAACTGAACTCAGAGGGGTGCAATAAAAATGATTATGACTTAGGAATGCATGACAAATGAGGAAATGTTGGAAGACGATGGTCAGATGTTGCTTAGATGGGGGGGGGGCGGAGATTATGGAATGTAGCTTTTCTCAGATATTTTAAAGTGTGGGCACTGATCACTGGACCAGTTAAGGAAATGCCAATAGGAAGCTTGTTTAGGATGCAACCAAGTATACTATAGAGCTTAACTATAAAGCGTTGTAGAAAGGAACAAAACACCTAGAGGAATGAAAGGGCACCCTCTAAGCAGCTCTGGAGTAAAAGGGCTGTCATTTCTCTGTGGTTTTAATCATGAGGTTGCTGTCATGGCAGAACTTGGGTTTGATTCACTTTCCTGTCCCTTTTAAGCTCCGACTCACCCATAAACGTTAGCCTGAAAACATATTTATTCATGAGCAAATCCAACCGAAATAACGAAAAAACGTACTCCTATGTAAATGTCTCTCTGCTCGCTCACACACCCCTTTTAAAAATGCAGTGCAAAAAAGGCAAGACCTTGTTGGGTACTTTTTGTGGGGGGAGAGAATTAAATTTCAGCCTCTGATCTCTGCATGTCGCAGGTTTCAAATTATGCACCCTTTCTGGTTGCCAAAATTTCAGTTTTATCTTTTAACAGAGGACCGTTTTCTTCCCCCTTTCTGCCCAACTTTTATTTCTGAGGAACGGTTTCCTTCATTTCTCTGCAGTCAGTTCTCTGCACTGCACCATAACCCAGCATACTGGGATCTCGTTGTGGCTCGGGCTCAAGGCTTCACATATGCTAAAATGTGACTCGCAGCGCTTTGCTTTGAAGCCTAACCACAGCCAGGGAGCTGTAATTGCCGTCTTTGATTGCGCCGACTTCACTTGCGGCTTGGACTTTGCTTGGGCATGCCTGGCTTGGCGAGACTTCAGCTGCAGCCCTCCAGTGAAGCCTTAGATGTGGGAAGTCTTCAGTCTCTGTAGCACATACCTGTGGTTTCTTGAAAAGAATCCTGGCTTGACCTGTTTTATATCTGTAAGGCAACACCATAGCTGTTCCTTTAAGGCTCCAATCAACTTATTGGCAGGGAATGGAAGCCGCTTCCCCTTTGTAGCTCAGGCTTGCAGGAGTTTGGATGTTTATTAATATTTATTGCTATAGGTATTTAGAGCCGGCGAAGGACTTTTAGTTCACGGACTTCAGCAGAGCTACTGAATTGATTCACTATATGATTTCTTGGCAAATGTGTAAGCACGGACAAACGCACGAACCAAAATCAGAGGCAGAAAATCTTGAACTCTGGGTAGCCTCCAGGGAAATTTTAACTATTGTTATTTGCAGACCCCCTCCACTTTGGGGGAGGGGGTGGTCCGGTGCAGGAAAGAGGTAGGAGGTTGTTAAGAAAGTGCAACTGTGGCAGTTTGAAGGAAAATAATGGCAATTAAAAAGGTCCGCTATCGTGAAGGAGGCGGCCAGAGCAAGGCCACGCACATTATTTTAACCTCCTCACTTCAAAGGAGGTCTGCTGGTAAGAGGAGGAAAAGCGGGAACCATCTCAACAGAAGGGCATTTCATTTCCTTCAGCAAGGAGTGCATTCCTGGCTGGTAACGGGGAATAACTCTGAATTGCAGTGTTTGTATCGGGCTCTGTGAACTGCTGGCCTGGCGCCTCAAGGCCGCTCCTCAACAGGAAACACAATGTTTTAATGTAAGACTGAGAGGAAAACCTTCCCAGGAAGAGCAACCTGGACCAAACCTTTGAAAATCTGGGATGAAAAGGCCCAAAGTAAATATAAATCAGCAGGGTGGCGCTCTCTTGCTCTTGCTCTCTCTCTTGCCAGTGTTCCTCTGCTGTTTGCTTTGCCTCTCTCCTTTGTGCTCCCTGGAAAACCAAAGCCCTTGTCACATGGCTCTTTTGATCCCCATGTTTTCTGGAGCAGTTTTCTGAGACAGGAAGCTGAGGCAGTTTTTTGGTTTTGGTTTTTAATTTGGGGAGTTTTATGAGGAAATGGGGAGTAGGTTAGTCAGTTACAGACCACCTCCACTGAAAGCAGCACTTTCCCAGAAAGCACTTGACTTTGCTGTTTAAAGACGTCGGGAAGATTTAACAAACAGTAACGTAAAATCAGGGTCCTAGCAGGTGCACGTCATATGAGCAAGTACAGGAAAAAGGAAACTATACACTGTAATCTTAAACGCTGTGCAACAGTCTTTGTGTTTCTATAGTAGTTTTATTCATGAAGCATTTTGGTTCATTTCTCCCCTCGCTCATACGTACATGTGATCACACTTGATTGTCAGGCAAGTGCCACATATGTTGATGGGCAAAATAAAAAATATATGATTAGCGCTGTGGAAAGACGGTCAGTGCAACCTTCTGTGCACTTAAATAACCTGGAGAACAAATACAGGTGTTCATGTGAATCTACGTACTGCTTGTTGAATGTCCATGCTTAAGTTCTGATAAAGGTGTGCTAAAATTGTGACGTTTCCTGTTAAATTTAATCGGCCAGGCACACAGATCTGACACTAGGTTTTTTTTCTTTCTGAAAAATGGAGTCAACCCCTCAAAATGCAACCGTAGCATTAGTCAACAGCTGGATAAACCATGTAGCAACATCACCATGCCTCATGCCTAAGTAGTAAGGCAGGCATCCCCAAACTCAGCCCTCCAGGTATTTGGGACTACAATTCCCATCATCCATAGCTAACAGGACTTGTGGTCAGGGATGATGGGAACTGTAGTCCCAAAACATCTGGATGGCTGAGTTTGGGGGTTCCTGTAGTAAGGGAATATTCTGTATCAACCCATTATTGGAGGCTAATATGAAAAATTGCCAGCCATCCATAAACCTGGCTTGATATATTTGCCCTAAGCACTCCAGGTTCTCCCTAGGGCTGTATTGTTTTTTAAAGCAACAACAACAATAGCCTGAGGCTCTGTAAGTGAGAAGTACTGTACAAAGAGCAACAGCGCAGAGTGTAGGCTTTTTACTATGACGCTAAGGAATCCTCTCTTCCCCGTACCAGTTAGGACATTATTGTGTTGCTGTCGTTACACAAAGTCTGCGGGACCTGTTGTTTCAAGCTAGCTTTTGACTGCAGTCCTTCTGTGGGTGCTTAATCTTAATTGTTGGCTATTGTTAGCAATGACCTTGTTTTGTAACCACTGTGAACAATGGAAAAAACAGTATAATGTATTTCAGTTAGTGTGCTTCTAAAATCCTAGTCTGACCTTCAAACTACATTCACAGAGTATGTGAAGGAAAAGCAGAATCACACCTGTTGGCCCCCATCCCTGGTCATGTATGAAAGGAACTATCCATGTGTTTACCTGTACAATTGTGTATTTTATATGCACACACACAAGTACCAAGCACTGCATGATCCCAGTCACACACATATATAAGCAACATGGGCACAGCTGTGTTCTATTCTTATGCTGGACACGTGGACATAGCTGTCAACTTTTCCCTTTTCTTGCAAGGAATCCTATTTGGAATAAGGAAATTTCCCTTAAAAAAAGGGAAACTGACAGCTATGCATGTGGAAGTCAGGTAGGGACCCTGAGGTTCCATGCCCCTACTCTAAATGCTAAAAAGTAGTATAATCAAACAAACAAACAACAAAGTGTCTTGATACTTAAATATATACCCTAAAACTTTTCACCTTTCTGTTCCCTGCAGGTGGAAAGAGAAACGCTTTCTCAACGTGCAAAGCAAAGGCAGCGACATCAGGGCCCCTTCTCGAAATGGAAGCTTGTTAAAATCTCCAGGCATGTCCTTCATCTGCACAGACCACCATCAAGGAGTATGTCTAGGATGCCGACAACACTTGCCCCGATGTCACTGCTTAAAAAGACACTGAACCATAAAGACAATCACTGCCAGGCCCCTTTGCTATCATGGAGTCCCAAATCTTAACACAATAAAAGACAGCAAGGAGAACATGTCAGAACTTCCCCAGTCAGCAGAGTAGTTTCTTTCCTTTTCGGTCTTCGCTCCGCCTTACACTCCTGTTTGTATCTCTCATGCGTTGTCAATGCTGAGTCAGCAGCAAATATAGTTCGGCTGTGTTTTGTTTTGCTTCAGCCAGCAGAATGATGTAAAAAGCCAGCAGCAACTCCCATCCTGGCCCTTCACACCGAAATGAACACACTTTAAATTCGTCAAGGAAGGCACAACCCAGTTTATTTAAATGCTGCAAAAGGATCGATCTTGGATTTTTAGCTTTTAAAAAAAGAAAACTTGAATGCTTTTTATGTTTTAGTTATTTCCTTGGTGTACATTTTTTTGAGCTTTTAAAGAAGCATCCAACCCCCCCCCCTTTATTTTTTAAGAAAAGGAAATTCCTATCCTCTCTCTCCCCCCCCCCCCGCTGCCCCACCCTGCAGGAGAGGAACCAAAATGTTTGGAGGACTGTGGCTTTTTGTTCTGTTAACACTTTGTAGCATAACCATCCTCATTGTATATGTGTACTATGGAGTTAATACTAAACATAACCCATCAGCTGGTCACCAGCCATGTTCATCTATTTCATTTACTCAGTATGTGTAAAGGCAAGATATTTCATCAGGTCTGACTACAGCGAGCTCTCCTCCTCCACCTACCCTGAATTTCCTTGTAAAGAAAAAAAAAAAGCCCAGCACTTGAATTATTATTACTTCAATTGTTCTGTATTTGTATCTGTTTTTGTTAGCCTGTTTAGTGGGATTTTATGCCAGTTGTTGAAATGAGCATCGATGTACCCATTTTTTAAAAAAAAAATAGTTAAAAAAAAAACTTTTTTGCCAAAAATACCCGTCAACCAATATATATTTTGTCATTCCAGTATGAGTTAATGTGCTGAGCATTTGTTTTTGTTTTTGTTTTTTTAAAAAATAAAAGCTTTGTAATAAAACTACAAAATACTTTATGGCTGTTTAAATGAGTCGGGGAAGAAGGGGCCATAACTCAGCAGGAAGAACATTTGCTTTGCATGCAAAAAGTTTCCCGGTTCAATCTGCAACATCTGGCTGGATAGGACAGATAGCCTGCCTTGTAACCCTGGCGAGCCACTGAAAGTCAGTGCAGATAATACCTGAGCTGAAAGGACTAATATACCCAGACTCTGTGTAAGGCCACTTCCAATATTATACAATGCTCTCTAAAACAAGGGCAAGAGGACCCGCTGGGAAAAAATAATCTGCTGTTCTGTGTGGCTTGGGTGCTTTCTTATTTGCTGCAATGTTTCACTGAAATCAGTGGGGCCTAAGTCATGGCCAAGTTTGCAGTCCTATACACATTGAATGAGGGATGCAGGTGGCGCTGTGGTCTAAACCACTGAGCCTAGGGCTTGTCAATTGGAAGGTTGGCGGTTCGAATCCCCACGACGGGATGAGCTCCCATTGCTTGGTCCCTGCTCCTGCCCACCTAGCAGTTCGAAAGCACATCAAAGTGCGGGAAGGTAAATGGCATTTCCGTGTGCTGCTCTGGTTCGCCAGAAGCGGCTTAGTCATGCTGGCCACATGACCCGGAAGCTGAACGCCGGCTCCTTTGGCCAACGAAGGGAGATGAGCACCGCAACCCCAGAGTCGGCCACGACTGGATCTAACGGTCAGGGGTCCCTTTACCTTTACCTTTGCACATTGAATGAGGCTCAACTGCCATTGCTTTTTAACAGCACTCATTTGCACCCTATGGGATGGTGCTATGTGCCTTAAGCTCCTCGATTCTATGTACGTATATGTGGAAGTGGTATCATGGTGTTCAGTAATACTTCCTATTAAGTATGCTTAGGAATTCAGTTTTAGGATGCAACAGCTATGCTGCTTTTGCATAACACAGAGCATTATCAATAGGCCATTTGTTCTTCCAAGGCTTATGGCAGGAGAACAGAAGGACTGCTTTGCAGGTCATCTAACCTAGCAGAATACATTAGAAATGGTTCCTTTTGTGCATGTGTCCCTGGGAAGCAAAGTTAATTCAATATAAAGACAGTTAAACAGATTCAAATACGTTACCAAATGTGCGATAATTCTAAAAGTTAAGCAATGTACGGCACAGAGAGACATAACAGCAGTGCAGTAAGTCATAGTATAGTTTCTGGTACAAGAAACTGAATTGCTTGCAAATTCCGTTAGCTTTAAATGCCTTGGTGGGAGTGAATCCCAATTAAAACCTGACAAGTGAGTCCTTGGCGGGTGCCTTCAGCCCATGGGCCACATTTTGTCCAGCAGGTGGCTCTTCTCCAGACCAAGCCCCCACCCCTGACATCATATGTCAGATATGGGGCAGGTAAGAGATGTGGCTGGTTCAGCTGCATGATCAAGTTCGCCATGGGAAAATGTTGCGTGCAGTTAATCCACGCAGAAAGCAGGGTGGAACTCAATGCAGGGCAGGGAGTTCAAGCTTGCTAATCTGCAGCTTCCAAGCATGGCTCTTTGGAAGCCTTGAGTGGTGCTTTGAAATCACTATCTTCCCCCAACTTCACCAGGTGGGCTGGTCAAGCCAGTTCTCAGTCACTTGATAACAACTTTGCCTGCCAAGCTGGTGAGGAGGTACTGGTCCGCCAAGCCCAAAAGGTTCCCCCACTGCTGTCCTAAAGTTTGAATCTGGACTTGGGTTGCTTCGTCTAGATCAGGCATGGCCAAACGTGGCCCTCCAGCTGTTTTGGGACTACAGCTCCCAGCATCCCTAGCAAACAGGACCAGTGGTCAGGGATGATGGGAACTGTAGTCCCAAAACAGCTGGAGGGCCATGTTTGGCCATGCCTGGTCTAGATAGATGGGTTATAAAGCAGGCTGCACAAGGCAGTGCCTTGTTTGAGCAGTCTGTGGTGGCCTCTGTTTTTCCCCCAGCCCCAGCCCCTTACAAGCTGCCTTCTAGTGGTGGGCTGGAATTTGACTTTCAGGGGTATGTCTCAGTGTTTCTTGGGGGAAGATGTGCTTAGTGTTGCTGCTGCCATGGCACGCACATCCTGTTTCCAAGCATCCCAACTCATGCAAGGCCATCAGCCGCCTTGCCTTCTGCCACCTGAACCTTGTTCACTGCCACACAGGATGCGGCACTGGTGGTTCTTAAGGTCTGAGAGCAACTCTTGTAAGCCTGTAGACCACTTCTCAGCCTCTGACCTCACTGCAGCTTTTATGTGTCTATGTGAGCCCCTGAAATTTGAACAACGTGCAGCAGAGTCTGCACGCTCATTTTGATGTCTATACCACAAATTGGAACAGCTGGCAAAGGATGCCTTCACAAGGCCTGAAAACAGCTGCTCTTATCTTAAGCATTCCCCTTTCCCCCCCTTTAAGTACTTATGTGTATCCTACCGTTTTGTGCTGCTTCATCTTCTGAAGTCTGACATAGTACTGCAACCTGCTGCTGTGACTGCCTCACTTGAGAAGTTTCTACTGTCTTAGCTTAGGCCTCCTTGTTCGATATGTTGTTGATATCGCAGACAGCTGAGCAACTTAAGGGTCTTGAGCTCTGGAACAGAAAGGCTGTTGGCTTTGAACAGTGAACTCTGTTTTGAGAGATAGCAGCCACTTTACCTATGCACCAACTTCACATATGGGCCCTTGGGGATCTGCTGTGAGCATTCAATTATGCTTGCAGAGCACATGATTTACAGAAACTTGGTACAACCTATGAGGACAAAAATGGCACTCCGATGCACAGGCAGACTCAATTTTTCCATTAGCACTTCAAGGGTAACCTGGAAGACCACCCTTGAACAGTGTCCAAAATTCAGGTTGAATACTTGCACTTTTCGATCCAAAGGTCAGTTCTTTACACATAAAATGTAATGATTCACTACTTTTAGCATGACTTTTCTATTATTTAAGAGTGCTTTAGTCCCTTGAGAGAAATGGAATCCCCAGCATCTTCTGGGAATGTCCCCTACCTGAAACCCTCAAGAGTTATATAGACAAAATTGAGGCCACATTCACAGCATATGTATAAAAGCACTATGACTTTAAACAGCCATGTCTTCTGCCAAAGTATTCTGGGAGCTGTAGTTCATTAAGGGTGCTGAGAGTTGTTAGGAAACCCCTCTATTCCCCTCACAGAGCTACAATTCCCAGAGTTCCCTGGGAAGAGGGATTAACTGTTAAACCACTCCCTTACCTCTGTTCCACGTGACTGGCTGTTGCTGGCAGGAAGCCACGGCTTTTCCTAAATGTTGTAGGGAGAGGATAACTATGAACAGCAAACATCACATTTCGTTCTGCACCAATAGTGGTAGGAGAAAAACATTGCACCATCAGTCAGGTGCTTAACTCAGATGATCAGTGATAGTACCAATAGTCTTTTTTGATAGGAGGTGGCGGCGGGGGGAGACAAGCAAGCTTCACAGTGAACTATATATTCACTTCAGTGAATGTTTAATTCACAATTAAATCTTGACAACTTAGGGGTCTGACGGGTATCCATTTATCATCTTGGTTTACAGCAGGCATAGGCAAATTTAGCCCTCCAGATGTTTTGGGACTACAATTCCCATCATCCCTGACCACTGGTCCTGTTAGTTTGGGATGATGGGAGTTGTAGTCCCAAAACATCTGGAGGGCCGAGTTTGCCTATGCCTAGTTTGCAGCTAGGCTGCCGACAGAAACATTTGTCACAGTACAATTTTCTAACAAGCCTCTGACTCCCACTTATTTTCCTGCATTTCTGTTTGCTCCAGTTCCTTCCTATCTATAGCCATAAAATAATGCAGATCCAAACACTAATTTTCTTCCTTTCCTTTGCCAGCCTAGTATTCTCCCCAAAAAAAAGGGAAGGGTAAGGCAGGGGAGGTCTCTACAGACCCCCTCGGGTGTCAAAGTTCAGCAGAGAGGTCCCTCTTGGTAGTTACACCGTCCTCAGAATCTCAGGGAGGTGATGGGCTGGGAGAGGACATCCACTGTGACAGCCCCTTAGTTGTGAAAATACAGCTTTCGGCAAATGCAGAAGACCCAACTCTTTGACACCTGCCACCCTATTTTTGCAGGCGTCGATTGTTTAAGCTGTTTTTAACATTGTATTTTAACTGTTGTAACCTACCTTGGGACCTTAGGGTGAACGGAGGACAACCTATTAAAATAGTAGTTGTAGTAATTAATAATAATACTACTGGGAAGGGATTAGGCAATACGAGGCTCTCTTTCGTGGGGATTGCATCTATATGGAGAATTTAAACTCTATATAGCTTAACCTGAACAAAAATATCACTCATGCAAAGCACTTTCACTCCTTTTGGCTTTGCATCCTTGCCAGACTCTTAATGTAATTTTAGCCAGGTATATGGAAAAAGAAGTAAATCCCAAACAGTTATACAGTGGTACCTCAAGTTAAGAACTTAATTCATTCTGGAGGTCCGTTCTTAACCTGAAACTGTTCTTAACCTGGAGCACCACTTTAGCTAATGGGGCCTCCCACTGCTGCCGCGCCGCCGGAGCACGATTTCTGTTCTCATCCTGAAGCAAAGTTCTTAACCCCAGGTACTATTTCTGGGTTAGCGGAGTCTGTAACCTGAAGCGTATGTAACCCGAGGTACCACTGTACTCGCTATCTTGGGATTGTATCCAGTTCTTAGGTACCGCCCGCCCCCCCACATAGCCAAAAGCAGTCGTCTCAAACTTCATGCATAATTTCTGCAAGGCTCTAGTATTTTTCCTACCTGAGACTCTAAAGCAGAGGTGGAAACCTGTGCTGTGAATTTAGTGGAATCTGCATAAGCTTTAGTTGCAGTTGTAGCCACACTTAGATGGGTGGCTTTTAAATGAAGAAAAACGAAGGCTGGAAAGATCATACCTCAGTTTCCTTAGCAAGGGACCCTCCTCCCCCCCCCTTTAAAATTATTAAGTAGCTTAGGAACTCTCGGCTGCTGTTCTAAGTCTCCTTCACCTCTATTTATTAAGTAAGGCAAGGAGGACATGCATCCAGGTTTAAAGCTGAAAACCTATACAGAGACAATAGAATGAAAGAGATAATGGTGTAGGTATCACTCATTTGCACCAGTAGGTGCACGTTTGCCTTTGATAAAATGTTACTGGTTGACTTGCAAAAACTGTGTTTCCACTTGCATTCAGAACAATGCTGTCATAATGCCACCTATTGGCCAAGAAGGAAAAAGATAAATTAAAAGCAGTGTGCTGCTTATCAAGATGATCTCCGGACTATTTTATTCGCATTCAAGTGTCCGCCTCTTAAACAGGATGCTTGTTACAAGTCTTATTAACTCAGACCCCTTTTATTTGGCCTTTGAGACAGGGAGCTTATGAAAGAAAGGCACTTTGAGAATGTAAAGCTCTCAGAATCATAGATCGAGAAAATCATTAACCCGGGAAAACAATTGCCTCAAGACACATTGTGCATTTTGATTATATAGTAGTGTTGACTACTTCTTTTTAAAAGCCCTGATTAAGCAGCATTCCAAGTACATCCAAATGGTACAAGAAGGTTATCCTTAACTCTGGAAAAACGTGGCCAAGTTCATTTGTATTTGTAAAATCCTTCTCCAGTCTTCTTCCCCAGCTTCTTCTCCTCTACGAGTTTATCCAGCAGCGGGCTTGGAGCAAAGAGAGGGTTGTCTGGCTCTAACAAGTGCCACCCTGGTGAGAGAGGGGGGAAAGGAGCAGCGCGTGCCCGTTACGTAAAGTCTCAATTTGATCAGATGCTCATTATTTTCAAGGCCTTCATTCCCAACTAACTCACCTGGGGTAGTTGAGAATGGAGGGAGGAACTGCACACTTCACCTGCTCAAAAAGGACTGGAGGAGAATTCCAGGACTAAATTCTGAAAATCCAGCACCTCTTCCACTTTATTCAAGACTAAGCACAGGTCTTAGTGACTCAGGTGATGTTATGCAGATTCCCATAGTGATGAGAACGATAGTCCAAAATCAATAAAACCACAGGTTCCCTGACCTTCTCTAGGAGTGCACACATACACACACACACACAGCCCCAAGACCACTAAAACTCTCCCTTACATAGGGATTGTGCTGATGCAATTGTCATCTTTAGCACCAACAAGTGAACCGTTGACAAAGATCCCTCGCAGTGGGGGGGGGGACCTACCATAAACAGTAGTTTAGTCAAGCTCACTCTTACCAGAAGCAAGACTGAGACAGACAATAAGGAACCCTCTTCTGTGATTCTCAGGAACAGTCACTTTCCCCCCATGTGAGAACAGCAACAGAATTTGACACAACTGAAGTTTCACAAAGCCCCGTTAGCAGTTTGCAAGAACAGGGGGCAGGGGACACACAGCTTATCTATTTTAATTTGTGAGCCACTTTGGGTTTCTCTTTCGATAAGGAAAGATGCATGTAAAATAGATACTGCATTTTTCGCTCTATAAGACGCACGTTTTCCCTCCTAAAAAGTAAGGGGAAATGTGTGCGCGTCTTATGGAGTGAATGCAGGCTGCGCAGCTATCCCAGAAGCCAGAACAGCTAGAGGGAGCACTGTGCAGCGCAGGGCACAGGGAGGCTTCATTCCCATACCCTGCGGAGGCTTTGCGGGGTTATCCCTGGCTTTTGCGGGAGGTGGGGGAAGGGACAGAGCACACAGCTCTGTCCCTTTCCCCCACCTCCCAGAAAAGCCCCCAAGAGCCACGCTCCCTTTAGAGAGCAGCGTGGAGCGTGTGTGCAGCTCTTGGGGGCTTTTCCCCGAGGAGGGGAAAAGCCTGCAAGCGCCCCACACGCGCTCCTCGTGAAAGGGAGAGCTGAGCAGAGCCTGGGATGCTTCCTTTAAATATTTCAGCGCTCCCTTTAAATATTTTTTTCCCCTTGCATTCTCCCTCTAAAAACTAGGTGCGTCTTATCCTCGGGTGCATCTTATGGAGCAAAAAATATGGTATCTATCATCAAGCTCGTCAGGAAAAATGTACATACCATCTATAATATATTTACTAGTATCCAGACCAACGTAGTCCAGGAGTTCGAACGGGCCCATGGGATAGCCTGCCCCGAGCTTCATGGCAACGTCAATATCTTCCTTTGCTGCATCTCCTAAGGACACAGTTGACAGGCGGGTTAACAAAGGTCAGCATCTGTACTCCCTTCTTTCGAGGCCTAAAACTTGGTTCCAACTCACTAAGGCATTTGCGCTCCGCACTCAATAAAGCAGCAGCTTTTAAGAAGGGCTTTGCTGCAGAAACTGCACAACGTCCGAATACCAGTTAATAGATCACAAAAGGTGTGGCTTCCCAGTGGTTTGGGATGGGGACCACCTGATGCGCTGCTTTTAACAGGGGTCAGTGGCTTCATTCTGAGCTTGAATCACTCCTCCCACCATTTAACAGCAAATGGAGGTGAGTGGGCACAATAGCAGGGTCTGGATGGCAGTAGGCACAGGCATTGAGGCTGGTGCAACAGTAAAGTCAAAAATGCAGGCTCAGTGCCCAGCATGAGCACAGCAAACAGAATCCTGTGCAGTGTAAAGAGATTCCATGACAGGAGGCTTAGGCGATTCTTCAGAAAGCTGTGTTAAAGTAGAAAGCGCTCCCTGAAAATGGAAAGTCTGAAAAATCGTATGCTAGAACTTCCATCTTACTTTGTTTTTTGTTTTTTTTTAGGAGGGTGTGAGCAAAAGGCCAAGGACCAAGCCATAAACTACAATTTAATACATAGAATTACACTGGCCTTTACCTCTCCTGCTGGAATGAATAAAACCTCTCTCAAGTCTGGCACAATTAAAGCAAAACATCGGGTTGCAGTGAGATGCCAACCTTTTTTCTTTTTTTTTACCACATTAGTTTTAATACATTTTCCAACAAGTTCTTAAAATCCCAAGTCTTAAATTTTTTAAAAGCCACATCAAAAACAAAAATCAGGATGCTACTTAGCCGAAGGGAGGGGGCGAAGACTTAAATTAAGGAATACATTTAATCAGACAAAGCCACATCCCGTTTCTCACCCATGTAAATTTAAAATGGATATATATTTTATGCATGCAGGAATGCAACATTTAACTGAAGCACTTTATATGGTGAGCTTTCAGATAAAACAAAAGTTGTTTCCATAATGCCACTCCTTTGCTTTTTGAAAAATCACTCTAATTTGTTCTTATACTGCCTTTGAGGAGTAATTAGCAGTATTTGTTGATGGATAAGCAAGAAGTATAGTTAATTTTGTTTCACAAGCTGAAGACACTTTTATGAACTACAAAGGGAGCTTTTAATATTTAAAATATATTTGCGGAGATCCTGATAATGGAGGTCTTTCATCTGCAAGCGAAGGCTGCTTTCCAAATAAAATGTTTGAAATAACATTCTTAATAGCAGACAACCATGAAAGGGGGCTTAATCTGAACAGTTACAACAGAGTAACTTTCTCTTTAGCTCTTCACACAACAAGCGTGTTTCCTTTGAAGACGACAAGGCTCATTTCAAGGCAGGCTCTCAGGTATGAAAGACAAAAATAATAATTCCTTATTTCCATCAACACAGTACCAGGGCAGGAACTGTCCAGCACTTTGTGCTAGCAGTTAATTTTTTTCCTCGGCTCATTATTCCTACTCCCATCAAACTGCTTTCTTCAACCTCCATCTACCCTATGAACCACTGTAGCAGTAAAATGGTACACAGAGAAGAGAAATGGATCACAATGCCCCAAGACATTTTCATTGCTCAAAAACATTTGTGCTGGCCCAGGAATGTAAGAAAGACTGGCAAAGAGAGAACTATGGGTAGATCCTAGGATCCAATCTCCCAAAGACCAGTCTTTTTAAAGCAAGTTTCCTATCTCTAACGGCATCAACTATGTCTTTTTGGGAAATTGTTCGTCCCCGATGCAGCATTTGGAAACCGCCTAAGGTATCTTAACCAAATTTTGTGCGATGGTTCCTGAGATCAAGAATCAGGCTTTTTGTCTGCAAATGGACACCATTTTGAATCAAGATGGCGGACTGGATCTTTTAAAATTGCACTGATTTTAAACACTGATGTAAAACTGCACTTATTTTGCTGGTTTCTTAAAATTCCCAAGCAATGCCAGATGCAAGGCTAATATTGATGACATAAAGATGGGTTTGAAAGTGTGAGCACCATGCTTGCAAACAAAAAATCTCTGAGCAAGATTTCCCACTGCTGCAGCAAGCCACCTGTACCTGACATAGGTCTTTACAGAACCCAATGTACAATTTGGATATTTTAGCCCAGAGTATACCCAGCCTGGGCAAGAAGAACAAAACTCATTATTAATTATGCCTATTGATGTATGTTTTTAATACTCACTTTTCAGTTCATGTATCTAGATTCTTTTTGGCTCCAATTTTGTACATAGAGTTAAAATAAAAAAGCTTAAGAACATTGTTCAGTACAATGCCTCCAACTGCAATTTGGCACTTCCCAGTTTAATTGAAATGGTAATTAATAGGTCCAGTTCTAGAGATATCCTATGTACCATAGCCCAATA